ATGGGGGGCTGTGTGTGTGTTTGGGGGGCTTTGTGTGTAAGGGGGCTGTGTGTGTGTAAGAAGGGCATGTATGTAGGGGGCTGTGTATGTAAGGGTGGCCTGTGTGTGTGTAAGAAGGGCTGTGTGTGTAAGGGGGGCTGTGTGGGGGGTATAGTTTGTGTGAGGGGTGGGGGGGCTGTGTGTGTGTAAGGGGCTGTGTATGTAAGGGGGTTGTGTGTGTGGGGGCTGTGTGTGTAAAGGAGGGCTGTGTGTGTAAGGGGGGCTGTGTGTGGTTGGGGGGGTTATAGTTTGTGTGAGGGGATAGGGGGGCTGTGTGTGTAAGGGGGGCTGTGTGTGGTGCAGTGTGTGAGGAGGTACGGGGGGCAGATTAAAGATATTTTTTGCTTTAATTATTAAATAATTAACTAAATATAGTTAATGCCCCCCCTTCTTACCTTTGTTGAGGGAGGGGGAGACATTGCTTTCTTTCCCTGGTGGTTCTAGTGGGGGAGTGAACTCTAACCTGCAGCTCAGGCTAGAGTTCACTCTCGCGAGAACGGAGCGTTGCCCTGGTAACCGCGGCAATGCTCCATGATCACAAGAAGAGAACCCGGCGGAGCTGCAGGTAAGAGCTTCTCCGGGTTCTCTCTCTCCCTCCCTCCCCTGCCAGCTGCCAGTAATGTGCCTGTGTGGGCCGGGGAGGGAGATCACTGATCTCCACTCCAGTCCGTGATGGCAACAGCAGGGCTGGTGCTTGGATAGCACCAGCCCTGCATGGGCCGGCAGGGGAGACCCTCGGCCAGCACTATTTTCTCGGGGGGGGGGGCAATTGCCCTGTTATCCCCCCCCCCCGGATTCGCCAATGGGCTGTTAGAAGGAACAGCTTCCTGCAGTGCAGCTACTCCTGAGCTGATGCTCCCAACATCTTCACACAAACGGGCAAATCTGTTGGGCTGCATAAGATCAGGACTAGCTAAACCTTTCCTCTTCTCTCCCCCCCGCTTCCTCGCCCCACTGTAACCCAGTGAATGTCTGCGTGAATGTATTTCTAAGCATATGTGTCAGTTTGTGCTTGTGTATAATTTGTGTATGTATAGTGTGTGTAGCAGTATGTATGTGTGGGAAACATTGTGTTTATTAGTGTGTGAGTGTGTGTGTGTGTGTAACAGTTTAGGGTAGTAGCTGTACTGTATAAGTATTAATAGAATTAAAAATAAAATAAACTAAAGGAACTACCCTATTTCTCCTGGGCATAACCCACAATAGGGGGGGCCTGTGTGTGTGTAAGAAGGGCTGTGTGTGTAAGGGGGGCTGTATAAAAACAAAATGGTTTCATTTTCAATCAGATGGAACTTAGTTTAAAGGTTTTTATCTCCTGCTCTGTAATCTGAACATTAAATATATACAGGAGGCTGCTGCATGGTCTATAACCTCAGTGTTGGTCCCATTCCCTTTCTCCTCATTTAACTTTTTGTAACATTCTTGGCTGACTAGTTGCATAGTGAGTAACAGTGTGTGTGGACAGTATGGAAGCAATGTGGGCAAGAGTATGTGTACCTTCGATTTCTGACTTTTCCCAGTTCTCTCCCTTGTTTTTGTTAGTCCTGTCTCCTCTTCTTCCTGAAGATCCCTGTGTTTAGTCTCAGGGCCAGTGGCCATGCACAGATCAGCCTCAGCTAACACAGGACAGGAGGTAGGGAGGGGGATTTTAACAGGCCAAGCAGGTTCCCCCTATAGGACATGCACCTGAATTAGGTGCCTTCACTGCCTAATCGGAAATACAGCCCTTGTCTGCAGCCTATGCAAGTGCTCCCCCTTCAAATGAGATGAACTGGTTATAGTGCCCGCAATGTCCTTTACATAACCAACTCATTATTGATGCTCAAATTGAAGAAGGCAGCACCGTAACAAAATTGACATTTTGATGTCAACCTTTCAACATCGGATCCTTTAAAAATGTTTCAACATATATAAACTAGTATCGAAAAAAGGGAAAATATTTCAAGACCTGGAGAAAAAAGGTAAAATGTTTTTGTAAAACAGATCAACTGGTGTGAGGTCCAAAAGCTTTTCCAATCCTATCTGTATCTAACATTCAAAAGAACAGAATAGAGAGAAAGACAGTCCTAGCGAGACTGCTAAAAGCATAAAAGAACCTGATGTGGATATTACACTGCACACAGATACCATTATAACTCAAATTACAGGTGGTATAAATGTACCGCTTTCCAGAAATATGTATTCTAATATAGTGAATGTGACAGGTAAAGTCCTCGCTACGTTGGGTACATGCAGGCTCAGTAAGGGGCTGTCATAATGTATGCGCCTACTAATCATCGATGATATTTCTGAAACACAACTTATCAGATTTTATATCTGTCAGAAGTGACATCAGAGATAATATGTTTCAGGGCAAATACAATGCAGATCAAAATGTAGAGAAAAAAGGTGATCGCTATGAACATAAAAAAAAAAAAAAAAAGTACTTTTATGTACAGACATTTTTTCAAATTTATATTCACTGCTCTCTTCCCTCTTATGTTTTACTGTTTTAGTGCATTAACACAAACCTGTATAAAAACAGCTAAGGTCAGTTTAACATTTGCTATTTTTTTTTCATATTTGTTTCTGAAATATTTATAGTGATCTTCGAATAGGCTTCAAAAATTCAACAAGGAAAGGCCCCAAAAATCTTTTTTTTTGTACCGTCCAGCAATAAAAGCATGTACATGCTGGAGTTTAAATTCCAGTATTCTGAACTGAGATAACAAAATAACATGTTATGGTTTGCTACTATTTTATATATCAATCACAGCAAAATTACTATACACAGCACATATTATTTTTAGTTCTCTTTTCTACTCTAGAGTGTTTGTAGGAGTAGTTCTCAGGCACTGATTACTCTGAGCATATGAGTGGTTGAAATACAGGCCTATATTTATCAGAACAAAACTGGATAAACTCAAGCCAAGGCAACGTGCTAATGTTGAAGCAAGGGCCTTTATTTTATGTTCAATTGGAATGGCTTTCCAATTCCTTTCATTACACCATTTAGTCTGGTTTCCTATTTAAAGGAACACTATAGTCACCAAACAACTTAAGCTCAATGCATCAGCCATGATGTATAGTTCATGCCTCTGAAGTTTCACTGCTCAATTCACTTCCATTTAGAAGTTAAATCCCTTTTGTTTCTGTTTCTGTTTTTTTTAGCCTGCATAAAAACAAAATGGTTTCATTTTCAATCAGATGTAACTTAGTTTAAAGGTTTTTATCTCCTGCTCTGTAATCTGAACATTAAATATATACAGGAGGCTGCTGCAGGGTCTAGCAAGCTATAACCAATACAGGAGATACAGAATTCTAAATGAAACAGAATGTGCAATAAAGGAAGTGTAAACATTAGATGACTCTACAGGAAGTGTCTAGGAAGTCTGTGTAAGTCACATACAGGGAGGTGTGGCTAGGGCTGTATAAACAAAGTGATTTAATTCCTAAATGACAGATAAATGAGCAGAGAGATTGAAGGAGCATTATCTATACACTATACCTGCTTTATTAAGCTAAAGTTGTTTTGGTGACTATAGTGTCTCTTTAATAAGGAATTTAACAATATGAGTCATTAAGCTAGCTGTCACCTGCCACAAACACTCACCAAATACCCTTGCAGAGATTTTGAGTGGGGAGCTCAGTCAGTGACAATGGCAGTTCAGCACTTCGAAAACAACAGAAAGAGTGGAATAGTTTTTTCTCATCTCTTTGCAGAGCAAACTTCCAAAGCAGCAGAGTGACATATTCAGAGACACACATCTGTGTGCAGTTGCAGTGCCTCTTGGAGACAGCAGGTGTCACAGACCGACTGTGGGACAGTGATAATGTGCCATTGATTCCCTGATTGTAGGCTAATGTTTGCCCTCCTTAGCCTCATATATCATCCAACACCCATACCCAGTGTGTCTTATTCTCTCTCCCAATGCTCTATCCTAGTAAATATGTCAGGGACACTGCAAAGCCATCCAATAAACAGCTAATGACACTGTGGTTTCTATTGTTCCTTATGAAGAGTGTTGGCTTGAATTGGAAGCCATTTTTTTGGTATCACAGCATAGACATCAAAAAGTAAACAGTATCTTGTCATAAAATGGCCACAACACCAGAAAAATGATATGCAGTTCCAGTAAATCAAGCACGTTGTTGCCAAATAACAATATGCTATCCACTTGACTTTCCTTTATGATGCAGTTATAAATAAGGAGAACATTTTTTAGGTTTCAAAAAAATTATGGTGGAGATTTATCAATCCAAAAACAAGTGCTATTCTCAGACAAAGAGCTAAATAAGGACCAATCACTATGGAGATCAATACAATTCCTTATTCCTGTTTTTCTTTTTTTCCCCTATATGTTGTGTTACATTGACATAACTTTCACACTATCCCTAGTTCATTTAATCCAACCTTTTGCCAGCGGCCAGGTACCCCTTGCTTTAATATGACCACTTAACCCAAAACAGTTCAGATGTTTTAGACACAGATGTGTCCACGGAGCAACGCAGCTAAGGGGAATGGGCCTTGACATTGCTAGGAGACAGGCATAGGATGAGTGTAATGTAGGGGACTGGCTAGCATAATTGGAGGAGGGGTTTGTGTTAGAGGAGTATATATAGTGGCCATTTTGATCAGTGGCCATCTTAATTAATCTACACCTACCTGTTTTGTGGCAGGTTTGTGTATTGTCGCTTTTGTCTTTCAGGTACATCTTGCTGTTAGAAGACTGGAAGTGCTGATGGCAGGAGTCTGGAATGCTGTGCAGGAGAGAGGAGTGGAGTGGCTTCTAGGAGGTCTGGGGGATGCTGTGCGCCCGGCCAAGCCTTCAGCTTCATCCCAGGGAGGTCGGCACCCAAGGTGGACCAGGCCGCCTCAGCGTTGAGCCAAGTGAGCAGCCCAGTGGTCGGAGGGGCAGGAGCCCGACTGTGAAGCCTGCTAGGGCTGAAGCGGTGGATGGCCGGAGTCCTACGACAGCCGCATGAGGACAGCATCGGAGCTTGGACAACGTCAGGAGGGACATGGCCTCACGGCCTTCAGGCAAGAGGTTCGGATGGTGAGTTGTCTTCTGCTAAACCTTCCAGGGACCTTTTAGAGGGTCTATGGTCTTTTCTGGACTCATGTAGCAGAGGTTCGAGGGGAAGTGCTACATTTGGACAGGTTTGGGATACTAAGCAGGAGAAAAGGCGAAACTAGTTGGGGACATCCCAGATACAGCTAGGCAGAATATCCACGTCTACTTTGCGGGGCGGTTGGGGGGTCAGCTTAAACCGGAGGTGAGGGCGAGGATATGGAAAGGGGAATTTCTGGAGATCTTCTTGCTTCCTCCTCTGGACGAATACGTAGAATTGACTGAGGTGGATTGGAAAAATGCCAGGAAGAAGGGAAAAGGTGCCGCTATCGGCAAATACCCAAATCCTTCGGGTATTGGTTGAGGGCTTGTGGTACTCTGGGGAGCATTGTGGGGGAATAATCCCCTGAACGGTGCTTGCATTTGTTCTGTTACTTAGATGGGGATCTGGGAGGCGAACCGCGCATACAGGGGCTTGGCGTGGTGGCGTATGATGAACTGTTTCGGCACAGGCTTTGGGTCAATTCGGGAAACATGAGTGTTCCGGGGTGGAGGCCCGCATGGGTACAACCACTGCTCCAAGACAGGCAAGTCCTCCTGCACCCTTGCCACTGGGGCGATCGCCGGTGTCGATGTTGTCGTGACTAAGCAGCTATGGTAACCAGGAGGACGCTTTGCTGTTGCGGGACGGGTTTGCGACAGGATTGTGATTCCATTTCGGCAAGGGGAAGGTGTTTGCAATCTACGGAATCTGAAGTCCATTGGGGTTTTTCCAGAGGTGGTTCGGAAGAAATGGTTCAAATAGGTACAGTTAGGGAGGAGGGCAAGGCCGTTCAAGGGGCCCCCGATGAGTGAATTGCAGGTGCCAGTGGGGGTCATGCCTAGCTGGAGCCTGGTGAGTACGGGTTTATTCCTCATTGATCGTATCAATATGGATCTTTGAGAATTATGATATTGACAGGGCTCTAGGCTCGGCATTGTATGCATTATTTGTCCAAGCGGTCGAGTTGGTTTGGCGTGTGGGCAAGGGGGTGTTGATGGCTACAGTGGACGTTAAAGCGGCATTTTGATAACTGCCCATTCACCCTGACTGCCATCATTTACTGGGCTGTTCTTTCGAGCGGTAGTATTTTGTTGATCGGTGTTGCCGATGGGGTTGTTGCATATCGTGTGCGTACTTCGAAAAGTTCAGTACTTTTCTGGAGTGGGGTCAAATACGGGACGGACACTAAATTCATGGTCCAATACCTAGATGATGTCAGGCCGGCGCGTTTGGTAGTGTGCCGGATAGGGTTGAGAACGTTGGACTGGGTCGCGAATGTCTTCGGAATACCATTGGTGGGCGACCGGATGGTGAGGGAAACAAATTGCTTGTCCTTCCTGGGCTTGGAGATAGATTCGGGCCGGAGGGACTGTCAGTTGCCGGAGAACAATTTACGGGCACTGCGGCATGCCGTGGCAGAGGTCTATGAAGCTAAGAAAGTTACTTTGCAGGTGTGTCAGTCATTGGTGGGCCAGCTCAATTTCACATGCCGGAGGAGCCCGGTGGGAAGGGTGTTCAACAGGTCCCTCTCCAGGGCAAACAGTGGGCTAGCGTCACCGCATCATGTCATTCGATCTGGATGTGTGGCAGGTCTTTATGGGGATTTATGGACATGTCCGTTGCCGGGAGCCGGTGGCTTCCTTGCCCGCTCTGGAATTGCTTATGTGCGGATCCAGCAGCATTGGGCTTGGAGTTTATTTCACAGGGCACTGGGCCAAATGCGTGGAAGGCCAGCACCCTCATTTTCAACCTGGCATTTCTGGAACTCTTTAATTTAGTGGTGGCGCTGGCATCGGGGGACAACAAATGAGGGACAGGAAGGTTACCTTTGTACTGACAACAGGTCGGTGGTTGAGGTTGTTAATGGTTTCTCTGCTCCTTCTATCCCTGTTATTCGGCTCCTTCACCGCCTTTTTCTCTCTTGCATGCAATTTAATATTGTGTGCAGGGCACGTCACGTGCCGGGGAGGCGCACGTGGCAGTATCCCCGGGCGCACAAGAGGAAGGAGTGCATTGCACAGCGGAAAGTGGCAGCTCGGGACCTCTTGCTTGGCGGTCTCATAAAAGGGGTCGTTGGCGGCCTACTTCAAGGTTTGGCACAAATGGGATGCCACAATGGTGTGTGTGAGTGGACACGACTCGGCCACAGCTAGGTTCAACACTTTGTTATGGTTTCTTTCTAGGTTATTGGTGGCAGGGGCATATTCATCAGCAGTCGGACACAACAGGACGGCGTTGGTGTTTTATTTATGTTTAATGGGTGGGAAGAATTAACCAAGAATTTCCTATTGCCTAAATTCCTAAATTCTGCGAGGCTTACTTGGCGTACTGCCCGGAGGTTTGTGTTTTGAAATGTGAGGTTGTGCTGTTTTCCGTGGTGTTTAGTGAGCATTGAGCATAAGTGACTTGGTGAGCAGCAACCGCCGGGGCGGAGGTGGGTTACAGTGTCCGGACGTGAAACTGTGGCAGAATCGGGTGTTGTGACATCTCCACCGTTCCAAAACTGACATATTCGGGTAGGGCAGCACTGTTTCTGATGCCATATATGGGCATGTGCAGTGGCGTTTTGGGCATTTCGTACTGGGAGAGGAAGTTCATTTTTATTGCAAGTAGATGGTTCTTCGGTGTCCACAGTTCAGTTCCTTAGGGTTTGTCGATTGGCCTTGGGGAGTGTGGGCCTGGGTCCATTACAATCCGCACTTTCAGAATTGGGGCTGCAATGGAGGCAGCTTGATTGGGTTGTGGGGTGAACCGGTCCAGTAGATCGGGAGGTGGGAATCGGTGAGATTCAGGTCATAGGTGAGGCCCAATCAGTTGAAGTCTGGTTGAAATGGTGATCATTGTTCTGTGTGGATAATGTGTTTTTCTTCAGCAGGTTGGATTGCATGGATGATGGGACACTCATATGTTTACTGGGCACAAAGGAGAGCTGCAGTTCATCGTCAAGGCATACAGCTGGGCTTCCCGCGCTCGATTGTGCAGATGGAGTGATTTGGTTTTAGGGGTTGCAGTTGGCACGGTGTATGTTTAGAGCTATCCCAAAGGCTTAGAGTGGGTAAAGTACCTAACATTGTTTTGTTTCATGCCGGGGGAGAATGAATGAGGCCTATTTTCGCAGAGGGCTTTGCTCCTGGAACTGAAGAAAGATTTGGATGGGTTGAGGCAGATGGTCCCTGACGGCGTTGTCATATGGCCAGAGATGGTACCGTGATCGCAATGGCAACAATGGCAACAATGGGATCATCAGCCAGTGGCAAGAAGTAGGGGGACGGTAAAAACAACTATGGCAACTAATATGAGGTGCTTGAGGGAAAGAGTGGTAAGGCATGGGGAGTTGGAAGCACAGTTGGCAGGTTATTACAGGCAAGATGGTGTGCATCTGTCAGAGGTGGGTATGGACTTCTTGTTGGTTTGGGGGCAATAAGGTAGCTCAAGGTGTCGAGCTCTGAGCTATGGCGGGGGACGGATAGAGAATTTGGGGTGTAGGTTGTTTGTCCTGATGGAAAATAGTTTTGGTTCACTAAGAATAGTTTGGTTTGAAAGAGTATTGGTAGGTTCAAGCTCGTCGGTAGCTCTGAATCTGGTGTGTGTAGGGTGTATCTCAGTATATCCCTACATGGACAGTTTGGTGTGGAAGAGTATTGGTAGGTTTGATCTTGTCGGTAGCTCCGAACCTGGCATGTAGGGTGGCAATGGTTATGTCATGCCCTCGGTGGCATTGCTTATGTCATGCCCTCAGTGGCAATGGTTATGTTATATGTTGATTATATGTTATAATGTGGTTTTACTTATTGTGTTGTGGGTCATTGTCTGGCGTAGTATTGTTAAAGGAGTTGGGGGGGATATGTTATGTTAATATGTGACAATGACCCTAAAATATTTGAACTTTATTTATTAATAAAGCTGTGATAAGCCAAGGAGGAGAGAAGACGGTGTCAGAAGAAAAAGAAGACTGTGTCAAATGAAAGAGAAGAAAAGGAGATTGGAGCAGGAAGGACAAAGGAAGTAAACCCTCCACTTCATTCTGGACACCACATCATAAGGCTTTGGTACCTAGGCGTGGCAGGGAAACTGTGGACCTTTTCGTCTCCCCAGGTAAAACAAATATCAGTGTTAATGTGTTCAATTTTATTTACTGTCAAGAAGCCCAGAGTGCCGCTGGGTAGGGGTGCCGCTGATTGGCTAGAGCGGTCAGCTGGCACTCTAAGCCAATAAGTAGCTCCCCATTCATAGAAAAGTAAAACCTTTTTATGAATTGGGAACTAGTGATTGGCTTAGAGTGTCAGCTGACCACTCTAGCCAATTAGCGGCACCCATGACTGACATAAATCTGCACTTCCTGACACTGTGTTTCAGAAGCCGAATACCACTGAGCGACCTGGAGATCTGGAGCTGGGGGAAGCCTTTGGGATTAAACCATTCGAGAGTGGTTTAACCCCTTAAAGGACAGAGAGTGCCCTGAGGACTCCTGGCATTATAACATTTTCATTTAGATTAAGTTGTTATGGTGACCAGAATGTTCCTTTAATTTGCTTAAAGGAACACTGTAGTATCAGGAATACAAACATGTATTTCTGACACCATAGTTGTGAAAACGCTATTTATGTATCTTGCCCCCTCAATTTATTTCCAGCGACACGCCAATTTCTCTGTGGTTTCCCCTCCTTGCCTAGGTGTCTCGGTTTTTTTACTTCCAAAATCTGGTCACCCTGGCTTTATGTGATAATGACTATGCCCCTCCCCTTCATGACACTGTCAAAAATGGGCCAAACATGGATGTCATTACAATTATGACCCCCTCCCACCGAAATATTCCTGCGGACGCCCATGGTAACACATGCTTTCTTAGTGCCTTAAGAAACACTGGAGAAGAGGAAGACATTTCTTAATTTAAAGAGAAAAGAAATATATAATTTAGTACTATAATATATTCGTTGAATTACATTTTTAACTGTTAATGTAAGCATATAATGACAAGTTAATTTTAACTAGGAAACTGCAATAACTGTATCCATAAAAGTATTCAAAGTCTTAAGCATGTTATGGACATCAAATGGTAAAAATACCAATAAAATCTCTTTTAATTTTAGATTGTAACACTACAAAATGTGGAATTGTCCAAGGTCGAGGGTGAAAAAAAATATATAATGCCTTACAGGTTATTTATTAAATGCTACTTGGCTGCTATTTTGACATTCGGAGCCAGAAGTATCACCCGGCAGAACAGCTATTCCAGAATGGTGAGTACACTTGACAATTACTCGTTCTAAAAGTCATTTAGCTTTGACGTTGTTGCAATTTGCAATTGCACTGCTTTTACAAATAGAAGCTTTTCAATAAGCATGGAGTGTTATATAATTATTATTGTGGCTTTTGGGACACATTAAAAATAAGGCACTTAAAATAATAACAATGCCTACATTCAAGATAAAGACTTTTCTCTGTGCCGAGTCAAAATATTTTTAAAGAGTAAAGGGAAGTTAAAGGAGTCATTACTTATTAAGCCAATTCCCAGCAACGAACATAACAAACAAGATAAAGAGTGCTTAATTCATTAAAGGGGTAATTCATATTACCATCTGTTATGATGGTAATATGAATATTACTGGGTGTATCTTTATATCTATATATCTATATATATTCATACTTCATATTACCGCCATATTTTTTTTCTGCCATTCTCTTTTTTATTGAGGCTGGTTCTAAGAACAATACAAACCACAAGGAGTAATAGCAGGAGTGTACATATACAACCAGGTTAAGTACAGTAAATAACATGCATATGTCTTTGTAGTTAGACACATGAAAGTAAACTCTGTGGAATTTAGCCTCCTTAATAGAAATGAAAATAATAGTAAAATAACAAAGTAATGTGGCTAATACGCATGCCAAATCATTGTGTTAGGGAGTATCACTGCATTGAAAAGACTATCATAGCACCTCTACAAAAAAAAACAAGAATAAAATAAGAATAAAAAGAAAACACAAATAATTTAACCTTTGTTGTCCAGTTATTGACACTGAAATGTTGGTCATTTTTTTAATTTAATCTTTACATTTTAAAGACCGGTGAGCAGCCATTCTATTTCGGATTTGTGTCTTTGGAGCTCAGGCTTATGCACCCGGCAGTGAAAGAGTTAAAGCGTGAGTGCAGGGGATTTTTTTCCTATATATATATATATATAGGAGGTCGGCACTGTGAATACCATTGTCTGGTTGGGTGCTTTTTTTTAACAGTGTGGAGTGTAATTGCCTGTTCGTGCCTCGAAATCTTGCTCACACACTCACTTTCTCACCAGCCCGCTAGTATTGTAATGCCGGCAGCTGGAGACAGGAGAGACAGGACCCAGGAAGCTCTAACCTGCAGCTCCGCTGGGTTCTCCTCTTGCAAGCTCGGAGCGTTGCCATGGTGACCATGGCAACACTCAGAATCTTGCAAGAGTGAACTCTAGCCTGAGCTGCTAGAGTTCACTCTAACCACTTGGACCACCAGGGATTGTCTTGTACTGTCCCCCCTCCTAGGCAAAGTTAAGCAGGGAGGGGGGATATCAACCCTCCAATCCCACAGACCCACAATAATCCCCACCTTACACACACACACTGCCCCATACACACACACTGCCCCTAAACACACACACTGCACCGCTCACACACACACTGCACCCCTCACACACACATTGCACCCCTCATACATACACACACACACACACAGCACTCTTCACACACACACACAGCACCCCTCGCACACACACACACACACACACACACACACAGCGCCCCTCACACACACACTGCATCCCTTACACATATCATTGTTTTTTATTTCTGGCTGGTGTCGGTCCACAAAATATTTCTCATCTTTTCGCCGGGCTGCAGGTGTTAAAAAGTTGCAGAACACTGGTTTAGTGGATCTAGGTTTGATATAGTTTTATGACATCTTTCTGAGGGTACAATACATTTTTATGGTTTCGTTATGCTCATTTCTCTTTGGGACAAAAGTATATCCAGTAATATTTCATGTAATCCATCATGGTGCAAGATGTTATGACGTCAGAAAGCCTGTATCAGTTTTTGCACATCGCTTTAGTTATAAACCACTCTGTTAAAGTAGAATGGGAGGAGCGTTCTCTTCCAACCATTTGCTTTGCAATAATGGTGCTTGTAATTTTCATTTATAAAGTGCAGTGCTGTACAAATCGGGAAAATATTTAAACGAACACTATAGAAATACAAATGTGTATTCATGACACTATAGTTTTGAAACTGCCATTTACTTTACCTGCCCCTAATGTCCCCGGTTAAAAAAGTAAAAACTTACATTTTTCCATAGAAAACCACTGGAAGGCTATTGCACATGCACATCAAAACGCCATGCTGCCTGCGCTAATCAACATCTTCTCCTGAATCAATGCATCTCTTAAAGGAACATTCAGAGTCTCCATGCACATTGTGCAACACTGACCCAGGAAGCACCTCTAGTGGCCTTCTGAGTGACTACCACTAGAGCTATTACAGTAATATAAACACTGCATTTTCTATGTTCATGTGAAGAAATGCCCCTCTTATACTGTAAATTGACTCTTTGTATTCGTTTGTTTAATAGTAATGCTCCCTATGGCATTCGGTAGGTAAAACTACCGAATCCAGACCACCCTGTTGCCCATTATACAGACTATACCTCCTTGCTGGCTGGATTACGTTCGACAGAAGTCCTGCATGAACGGCATGTCTCGCCGCCATTTCGGGACTTCCACGTGTTCGCGGCCATTTTAGCTCTCGAACAGCAGTGTTTGCCGTTGAGTGTCTGGAACTGAAAACGGACACTCAAACAGGCGAACACCGCTGAAGCCTCCAGACCTTCGGTAGACCCCCTTCCAAACTACCGAACGACCAGGCGTTCGGTAGAAAGACTTACTAACGGATGGGGAATCAAGCGAACAAGGATGGTAGCTGGATGGCCGGCCATTCGGGAGGTTTTTCATGCGACCTAAGACCGACTGCAGGGCCAGAATTCATGGAACTGTTTTCGGCTACTTTGCCCGTGCAGTCAGTCAAAACTTCTAAGTCCCATATCTCCCGAACGGCTGAACCGAATGAACTGAGTTTTTTATATGTTGGTCCCCCAGAGAACAGCTATCTGTTGGTACATCCTTGGGGTACATCCAAACTTTGGGGAATTTCTGTTACGTTTTAATTGTGTTTAATGGTTATCTGAGGGGAGGAGATGTACAGTATGTATATTGTTAGGATTGGATGTATGGCTAATTATATGGGAGGCTCCCTTGCATGGGCAGAATTGCATAAAAAGAGCATGCCTGTCATTAAACCTTCAGTTCATCTTTGTACCCTTCTTCTGACTACGTATGCTGTTTGGGAGTTCGTGTGTTTTGCTGTGGGAATTATCCAGGAACACTATTGGAATTACAATTGGGAATTCATCTACCATAACCACCGGACGGAGGGCTATATTCACTGGGCTCTGGCTGTTCGGGAGGAAACTACCGATTAAGGTTTAAATGCACTTGGTTTCCTTACAGTTCACATTCAAAATCCTGCAGGGACAGGCAGTAGATTTCAGAAAAACTACATATAGCTGTAGTTATGTTGGTGACTTTAATGTCTCTTTAATAGTGAGTAGTGGTGATTTGACAATCAGTTTTCAAATAGTGGCCAAAATAGCTCAGTTGTTGAAGTTTTCCAGTTCTGCTGTTTGAACTTCTAGAATTTGGTTTTCAATTCACAAAAATTTGCTGTTTAGATAATAAACAGTGGGGTGTATAGTAACACAGACATACCGTACATAACAAAAACAAATGACAATACACACTATTTAAACAGCTGTAAACAGAACTGATCCTTTGCACACCAAACAGTAGATATACGTGCAAACAAAATACCACGTGGAAGAAGGCTCTGGAGAAAAATTAAATGACATACTTATTATTATAGCCTCCTATTTCAGTAAGATTAGTGTAGGGAGTGTTTATAATATGACAGAATCTGAGAGCTGCTGAAATTCTAACAGTGACATCATATAAAAATCTATTTAACTTTTCAATATGTCCCCTCCGTATTGTTAAGATGTAAAGCGAGAGTTGAATGTTCGACTACCACTGGCCATAAAACAATATGAACAGGATCATTAACTGGTAGATCCAGCCCAAGCTGCTCATAGAGAGTACATAGAACTGTAATTTCCTATTCAAACAACTCAAGTCTTAAAATCAGATTCTCATCTTGGCTGTACTTAGAAGTATTATATCTTATTGCTTTCTGGACTCACCAATAAAATCCATTATAGGACACGTATACCACAACACAGAGAGAGAGAGACTTCAGAAATACCTATTTTTGTTTTCTCAGACAGGAAAATCTATAAAACTCAATGAAGTCAAAAGAAAAGTTTAAACACTGCAGCCCTGGAAGCAAACGGCTAGCGAGAGCAGCTAATGTAGAAACACAACTGAATAAAGGAAGCAACAAAAACACCTTCAGAATATTGATTAGGGGAGGTTGGCAACTCCAAATACAAGAAGACGTGGAGAGTGAGGCCTATTTATACTTTGTGGCAAAAGTGCAGATTCCGTATTAGCTTCTATTCGTTATTTACTCTTCTTGCAAGGAGGTCCTGAATAGGTATTTAAAATGACATTTAACATTCATTTTAACACTTGAATCAAAAGTTAAGATAAAAAGGCAGTGCTAGTGATATCAACCAAGCATGTATCTTTGCAGACCCATGGAAAGGCAACCTACGGCAGCCAGTTGTTATTAACTCCATCTCCCCGGATGCTTTGCCAGCAATGTGGCTGCAACAGCTATATGGGGGGTGTAGTCCACAACAGCTTCAGCGCTGAAGGTTGCCTACCTATATACACTGTTGCCATCTGAGGGACCACCTTTCAGTGATGGACAATGGTGGCAGCTATCGAGGAACCAACAGCAGTGGAACAGCCTCTGGATTTTTACAGTACCCCCTTTTCTTGATTTTATATAAAACTGTTTCACTGCTGGGAAGCTACGGCATAAATGAATGTTGGGTGCCAGGGCAACCTTTGTACTTTATATATTAAAGGAACACTATAGTCACCTAAATTACTTTAGCTAAATAAAGCAGTTTTAGTGTATAGATCATTCCCCTGCAATTTCACTGCTCAATTCACTGTCATTTAGGAGTTAAGTCACTTTGTTTCTGTTTATGCAGCCGTAGCCACACCTCCCCTGGCTATGACTGACAGAGCCTGCATGAAAAAAAAACTGGTTTCACTTTCAAACAGATGTAGCCCCATGTAGCCAAAGCGCAGCTAAGCGAAAAAAGGCCTTGACAGGGGTTAGGAGGCGGGCATAGGAGGAGGGAAGGAAGTATGGGGTTATGGGTAAGTAGGCTTGGCTATTTAAATAGGCAGCCATTTTAAAGCCTTCACTTTTAATTACTACCTTGCTGAGTTTGTGTGCACTCCTGTGTCCACAGATTTGGTTTGGTGGGGTCTTTGTTTTTTCTCTCCTTCTGCAGGGTCGAAGGATAACATGGAGGAGCTGTTGGAGCGGATCCGGTTGGCGGCTCAAGGACGTGGCGTGGACTGGCTGCGGGCGCAACTTGGACCGGCCCTGGCGGGTGCTGCGGATCATGAGGGCGGCGGAGGTCGGCCTGTGCGGGCTCGGAGGCCGCCGAGACGGCTGAGCCCAGGCGCGGAGTCCGGTGGAGACGGTTCCAGCGGCCAGGCAGCGGCGGGACCAGGCCGAAAAGGACCCGGTAGCCGCATGGTTGAGGCTCCGCCTCCCGGCGCGTTACCGGGACGTCAGAGAAGCGGTAGCCGGCGGGAGGCTACCCGGGAGTCGGACGGTGCGGCTCCCAGTGCGGGGAGGGCTGCGCCTGGAGCGGGGGCCGCGGAGGACATCGGGCGGCCCCCTGGAACCGGAGATGACGCAGGATTGCAGCCCGGGAGGGCGTCTTCTACACCCGTGGCGGGGACTGGCGGGGCCGGTGCGGGAGGAGCTCACGGACCGCCCCTGGAACAGGCAAGTGCAGGGGGTTCCGGCCGGGACCCCCTTGGCGCGAATCAGCGCAGGAGGACTGGGCACAGGGTTCAGAGACCTGGGGGGGACATGGAGAGGGGTCAGGTGCCTTCTAGAGCGGGGGCAGAGAGGTCTAGGGGGGAGGGTGCGCAGGGTAGTTCCAGGGTAGTGAGCATGGAGCGAGGGCCTGTAGCCGGGAGGGTGGAAGGGCCAGGGGGTACGGCAGGGGGAAGTTTGCCATCGGGTGGGGGCAGGAGGTCGAGGTGCGCAGGGCGTTCAGGACAGGTTAGGGGTGCGGGGTCTGGGGACGGTCTAGAGGTACCGAGGGGAGGGGGTTCTTCTAGCCGGGGGGCCCGCCGGGGTGGGGGGTGGGGATTTCCCTGCGCTGGTGAGCGGATAGGTGGGCGTAGTTCTGGGGGGGGTTCAGGTTTGGGGTCTGGTGATAGCAGCCCGTCACCGGTTAGGGCCCGGGGGTCCGGGGGGGTTAAGGGAAGGGCTCGGCGTGTTAGGTCCTCATCTAGTAGCTCAGGGGGGGAGAGTGTCATGGCCCCCAGGCTGGTTACACGGGGGCGGGCCTCTGGTAGAAACGGGAGGAGTCGTAGTCCCAGAGGCAGGGCCGATCGGGCCTTGGGTGGGCGAAAAGGAGTGGTTGCGCGACGGGAGGCTCTGGTGTCCAGCGGGCGCTCTCAAGGTCGGGACGGGGGGGCTGCTCATGACCAGTATGCTCTGCCCAGGACTTCTTCTCCTCGTTACAGATCTCGGAGCCGCTCCGCCTCTGATGTGGCCGGGCACCGGGTTGGCTCCCCGGTTGGAGGATCGTTAACGGATGTCGCTCATCCTGGTCAGGGGACAGTACACAACGCAGCCCCAGGAGCTTCGGGGTCGAGGGGCTTGGCCGGTGAGTCCTCTGCTTCTCTGCACTCCAGTGCATTGGTTCATACACTTCAAGCACTTCTCCACTCACTGGGAGCGGGGGGTGCCACAAAGGGCGGTGTGGGTCAGGTTTGGGCTCAGGGGGCCGGGGTGGCGGGCCCGAGCGAGGTTCCCTCCGCGGAACAGAGTTCGGGTGGGGACACTGCAGTGACGGTTACTGGGGCGGAGGCGACGAGCGAGCGGGCTGAGTTGACGGGGGGGGTGGTTCCTGATGCGGCCAGGCAACACGCATATGTGTCGTTTGCGGGTCCGCTGGGGGTCCACCTCAAACAGGAGGTGAAGGAAAAAATCTGGAAGGGTGACTTCTGCGAGATCTTTTCTCTTCTCCCTTTGGAGGATTTTATTGACCTCAAAGAGGATGATAAAAAAGATGAGAAGAAGGAGGAGGAAGAGAAGAAGAAGCGGTATCGTAAGATTCCCAAGTCTTTCGGTAACTGGCTGAGGGCCTTTTGCGTGTTGGCCAGTGTTCTGGGCGAGAAATCGCCGGGCCTGTGCTCCTCTCTGTTTTGTTATTTGGATGGCATTTGGGAGGCGTATCGCACCTATGGCGGACTGGCATGGTGGCGGTACGACGAGCAATTCCGGCAGCGTTTGGCGGCTAATCCGGGTATGCGGTGGGATCAAATGGACCTGCCTCTCTGGATGAAGCTGATGATGGCGCAAAAAGCGCAGCCATTTCAGCCCACGGCCGGCGCAAAGGGGCAGTCCGCCTCGTCGGCCGCCATGCAAAAGGGCTTCTGCTGGCTCTTTAACGAGGGCCAGTGCAAATGGGGAAACGCCTGTCGCTTTAAGCACGAGTGTTCGGGCTGCGGTGGCGCGCATGGGCTCAACCGGTGCTTCAAAAAAGGGAAGTCAGGGCACACCGGGGTCCCTACCTCGGCTGGGGGGGGAGGGGGAGTTTCGCTTGCCCCGGGGCCTAACCCCGGTGAGGCTAGACGCGATGGAGCCGTGGCTAAGCCGCTACGGTAATAAGGCAGATGCCGTGGCGCTCCGGGCGGGGTTTGGTCAGGGGTTCTTTATCCCTTTCCGGAACCGGGGGGGGACTGGGGTTCGGCGCAACCTTAAATCGGTGGCTGAGTTCCCGGGTGTGGTGCGGGAAAAACTGGGCAAGGAAGTCAAATTGGGGAGGATGGCAGGGCCGTTCCCGGCTCCTCCATTGGAGGGTCTGCGGGTTTCCCCGCTCGGGGTGGTTCCCAAGAAGGAACCGGGCAAATTCAGGCTCATTCACCACCTCTCCTACCCGGAAGGAGAGTCGGTGAATGATGATATTGACAAGGACTTGTGCTCGGTCTCATACGCATCATTTGACAGGGCGGTCGAGCTGGTAAGGAGGGCCGGGCGCGGGGCACTGTTGGCTAAGGTGGATATTGAAGCAGCGTTTCGGCTGCTTCCGGTCCACCCAGCGTGTCATCACTTGCTGGGGTGTTTCTTCGACGGGGAGTACTTTGTGGATTTGTGCCTTCCAATGGGTTGTGCTATCTCCTGCGCCTACTTTGAGAAGTTTAGTAAATTTCTTGAATGGGTGGTCAAGGTTGAGGCGGGGAGTGGGGCTGTGGTACACTACCTGGACGATTTTCTCTGCGTAGGACCGGCGGGCTCCCCCGCCTGCCTACACTTGCTGAGAACGGTCGAGTGGGTGGCTGGCCATTTCGGGGTCCCGCTGGCGGCGGACAAGACAGAAGGGCCGGCTCAGTGCCTTAGTTTTCTGGGGCTGGAGATAGATACGTTGCAAGGGGAGTGTCGGCTGCCGTTGGAGAAGTTGCGGCGGCTGAGGGAGGAGGTGACGACGGCGGCTCAAGCCCGTAAGGTTACATTGCGGCAGCTGCAGTCGTTGATCGGGATGCTGAAATTTGCATGCCGGGTGATCCCAATGGGTAGGGTGTTCAGCCGGAGCCTGTCGGCAGCGACGGCGGGGGTGCGATCCCCGCGTCACTTCATTCGGGTGTCGTCGGCCATGAGGGCCGACTTGGCCGTATGGGAGACCTTTTTGCGGGAGTTCAATGGGACGGTGATTTTTAGACAGGAGGGCGTGTCGGCTGCGGAACTGGAGCTGTTCACTGACGCGTCTGGTAGCGTGGGCTTCGGGGCTTATTTTGGGGGACGGTGGTGTGCGGAGCGATGGCCGGGGGAGTGGCGACTGAGCCCCCTCATGCGGAACTTGGCTTTCTTGGAGCTGTTCCCGCTGGTCGTTGCATTGGCCCTGTGGGGGGATAGGCTGCGGGACCGGAAGGTGGTCTTTTTCTCGGACAATATGGCCGTGGTGCACGCTGTGAATAACCAATCAGCGGCATCGAAACCCGTGGTTAGGTTGCTACGTCATTTTGTTCTGTTGTGCATGTCACTAAATGTTGTTTTTCGTGCACGCCATGTGCCTGGGTTCATGAATGATGTAGCTGACGCCCTGTCTCGTTTTCAGTGGTCACGATTCCGGACGGTGGCGCCGGAAGCCCAAGAAGTGGGGCAGGCTTGCCCAGACGAGATTTGGCGGCTCGGGGCGACCTGCTTGGGGGACTGGTGAAGGCTTCGCTGGCGCCGGCCACATGGGCCGCTTACAGTAAGGTCTGGGACTCCTGGGAAAGGTCATGGGAAGGGTTGGACCGCCTGCCGGCGGGGGAATCGCTCAAGGATGCGTTCCTCTGGTACACCTGTCAATTTCTGGCGAAAGGGGTATCCCCGGCGGTGGTTGACAGGTCCATGGCGGCGATGGCTTTCTGGTTCAAGCTACATGGGGAAGAGGATCTTACTAAGGCCTTTGTCATAAGGCAGGCACTGAAGGGGTACCGGCGGGGCCGCAGGCGGCCTGACACTCGGCGCCCAATATCGGTGCGAGTGTTGAGTGACCTGGTCGGTTTATTGCCTACTATATGTTTCGACAGGTTCGAAGCATCGTTGTTTCAGGCGGCGTTTCTGTTGGCCTTCTTTGGAGCCTTTCGGGTAGGGGAGTTGGTCAGTGCCACGAGGACTGCGGCAGGGGGGGTACAGGTGTCGGGGGTCCGAGTGCTGGAAGGGAAGGTGGTTGTACACCTGGCAAAATCCAAGACGGACATGTTAGGCAAGGGCCGAGATGTGACGCTGCGGGCCCTGCCGGGCTCCGCTTTGTGCCCAGTGGCCGCAGTGGCGGGGTACATGGCACGGAGGCCGGGGGTTGGAGGATCGCTGCTGGTACACGCGGACGGGTCTTCCCTCTCCCGGTTCCAGTTCACCAAGGTTTTTCGGTCTGGACTGGGAAAGCTAGGACTGAGGGTGGATACTTTTGGTACACACTCCTTTCGTATTGGGGCGGCTACGGAGGCAGCTCGGTTGGGTCTGGGGGATGACATAGTGAAACGGATTGGGAGATGGGAGTCGGTACGGTTCCGTTCATATGTGCGCTTGGGTTTATTGGAGTAGTATGGTGAAGGGCCTTTGGGGGTATCCCCGGGGGCTGGGTGCATAAGGGGCTGTTATGATCTGTTTTCCTTCTCTCCCCCCAGGCCGTGTCGCATGGATCGTGGGCCATTCATTTGTCTTCTGGGCCGAAAGGAGGGCTGCAGCTCGAGCTCAGGGCCACCAGCTGGGCTTTCATCGGGACCAGTTGGCAGTACAATGGTTCGGGTACAGGGGTTTTTGTTGGGGGGAGGTCTGCGGACGGGTGTTCCGGATGGTAGCAGGCGGGCAACGGCCGGACCTGCTGGTGCTCCATGCGGGGGGCAACGACTTGGGCCTCACTCCGCAGCGGCGGCTGGTGAAGTGGATGAAGCAGGACCTTAACAGTTTAAGGGACCTACTTCCGGGGGTGATGTTGGTCTGGTCGGAGATTATCCCTAGGAAGCGGTGGCGGCATGCTAGGGACCCGGAGGCTATTGACAGATGTAGGAAGAAAGTGAATAGCTTGATGGCAAGCTTCGTGCGGAAGCTAGGGGGTGTGGTAGTTCGACACAGCGAGTTGGAAGGTGGTTTGCCGGGGTACTACCGCTCGGATGGAGTCCATCTCTCGGCAGTTGGTTGGGATCTGTTGACCCTGGGCTGGCAGGATGGCATAACTAAGGCTCTTTTTCTTCGGGGTGGCGGAGCTCAGACAGCTTAAGGAGTCAAGGTCTGAGCTTGTGGCGGGATAGGGAGCTGAAGGAGAAGAAATAGGCTCCCTAGGATGAACGTCATGGAGACGTAAAACTGTGGTCATTGGTGGTTGGTAGGTTCCGAGTCCTGTCGGTGGCTCAGAATCTGGTGGGGCAGGGGTATCCGGGTATACCCCTGCCATGGTTAATTTATGTTTGGCACTTTAAGTTGGTATGTTGGAATATGTTGATACGTATGTTATATGTATATGTATATATGTTATTTATATGGGGGTCATTGCCTGTTATATTAACAGAAGGATTCGGTTATGAGGGCGGAGTATGGGGGCAATGACCCATGTTTATTGTTAAAATTATTATTGCTTAATAAATTATTATTATTCAAGATTGTTTAAATAAAGCTGTGGACAAATTTTCCCATATACCTTTGTGTCAGTGAGTTATTGGGTTAGGTATGTGGGAGGGTTGTCCTGGAGTCCGACTGCCCATATGGCGACTATACACCGGTCATGTAGCCCCATGTAGCCAAAGCGCAGCTAAGCGAAAAAAGGCCTTGACAGGGGTTAGGAGGCGGGCATAGGAGGAGGGAAGGAAGTATGGGGTTATGGGTAAGTAGGCTTGGCTATTTAAATAGGCAGCCATTTTAAAGCCTTCACTTTTAATTACTACCTTGCTGAGTTTGTCCCGCCCACCCTCCCTGTATTTGGTTTGGACTTGGGTTATCCCGTTTTTTCACAGCGGCGGGATAGGGAGCTGAAGGAGAAGAAATAGGCTCCCTAGGATGAACGTCATGGAGACGTAAAACTGTGGTCATTGGTGGTTGGTAGGTTCCGAGTCCTGTCGGTGGCTCAGAATCTGGTGGGGCAGGGGTATCCGGGTATACCCCTGCCATGGTTAATTTATGTTTGGCACTTTAAGTTGGTATGTTGGAATATGTTGATACGTATGTTATATGTATATGTGTTATTTATATGGGGGTCATTGCCTGTTATATTAACAGAAGGATTCGGTTATGAGGGCGGAGTATGGGGGCAATGACCCATGTTTATTGTTAAAATTATTATTGCTTAATAAATTATTATTATTCAAGATTGTTTAAATAAAGCTGTGGACAAATTTTCCCATATACCTTTGTGTCAGTGAGTTATTGGGTTAGGTATGTGGGAGGGTTGTCCTGGAGTCCGACTGCCCATATGGCGACTATACACCGGTCATGTAATTTACCTTAAATAATTGTATCTCAATCTCTAAATCGAACTTTAATCACATACAGGAGGCTCTTGCAGGGTCTAGCAAGCTATTAACATAGCAGGGGATAAGAAAATCTTAATTAAACAGAACTTGCAATAAAAAAAGCCTAAATAGGGCTCTCTTTACAGGAAGTGTTTATGGAAGGCTGTGCAAGTCACGTGCAGGGAGGTGTGACTAGGGTTCATAAACAAAGGGATTTAACTCTTAAATGGCAGAGGATTGAGCAGTCAGGCTGCAGGGGCATGTTCTATACACCAAAACTGCTTCATTAAGCTAAATTTGTTCAGGTGACTATAGTGTCCCTTTAATGTATGATATACATTAAGCTGTTCTATACACCAAAACTGCTTCATTAAGCTAAATTTGTTCAGGTCCCTATAATAAATATATTATTAAATGAATGGACACTCCAAAGTTATAAAAAAAATGTATATATATTTTGGAGTGTTCCTTTGTTAGTTTTCTATAAAAAAATAAGTTACATCTAAGCTAGTGGTGAGATTACCTTCTCACTGCAACTGCACTCTGCCCGCAGTAGATAATCTTCCAGGCCAGACCAGTGCTTTTCAAAGAGAACAATTCGGACACTAAATGTATGCATTAGAACAATGTAAATTAGGGCACACCTGTTAGTTTCTTCAGTAGGCAGTTTTATTATAAAGCGCAGAACAAAAACAATGTTTCGGCTTCTTGGAGGCTATGGCAAGTCAAGACTAGACTTGACAAAGGTTCAAAGGTGCTGAAGCTTTGTCTTTGTTCTGCACTTTATAATAAAGCTGCCTAGTGAAGAAACCACCAGTCGTGCCATTAACTACATTGTTTGACTGAATCTTTCTTGGGTTTCTGGCCCCGCCTCTCTGAGGCTCCCTGATGGGAGTACTCCCCGGATAGTGTGCATATCCTCTCTACCTTTGCATGGCAGTCACTGGGAATCACTAATATAATACTTCTCATAGAAATGCATTCAAACTAATGCAGACTCTTAAAAGTGGCACTGTCATTGTCTGGGGTGAATTGACATTGCCGCTGGCGGTTTTGTGGATGGAGTGGGCAGGCAAAGGTTAGTTCTACTTACCTGAACCTGTTAGTTGTGCTTCCGTTGACAGGAGATGGTGTTACTGTGTACTCCCATGTGCATGCACGGGAGTACATCAGAGAAGTCTACACCCTGTTCCAAATTAGTTTGCAAATTATATTTTTCTAATTTACCTAAATAATTGATGTAAATAACAGTCAGCATAATTCTCATGTTATCAACTATTAAGAGTACAATTCAAATTTTATTGAACAAACCTCCTAATGATAACAGTATTTTTTAAAACATAAAAACTTACAATGCACTGTTCCAAATTATTACGCACAGTAAGTTTCAAAACACTTTATAGGTTGTAAAGAACTGAAAATTGTCATTTGTTGTGTTTGCAGCATATTTACTGAAATCAAAAGCTATTTCTATCAAACTTATAACAACATTTTAGCAGCCATTGATGAAGAGGTATTCTTTGCAGCATGAGATGGTGCATTGTCATGCATGAAGATGATTTTATTACGTAAAGCATAGTTCTTCCTTCTGTACCAGGGAAGAAAGTGGTCAGTCAGAAACTCCACATACTTTGCAGAGGTCATCTTTACACCTTCGGGGATCCTAAAGGGGCCGACCAGCTCTCTTCCCATGATTCCGGCCCAAAACATGACTCCACCACTGCCTTGCTGACACCGCAGCCTTGTTGGAACAGGGTGGCCATCCACCAACCATCCCCTACTACATCCATCTGGACCATCTAGGGTTGCACGGTACTCTTTAGTGAACAGGACTGTTAGAAATTTAGTCTTCATGTATTTTTCTGCCCAATGTTTCTGCTTGTGAGCATTGGTTAGTGGTGGCCGAATAGAAGGTTTATGCACAGTTGCAAGACTCTGGAGGACTATACACCATGATGTCCGTGGGACTCCAGAGGCACCAGCAGCTTCAAATATCTGTTTGCTGCTATGTAATGGTATTTTAGCAGCTGCTCTCTTGATCCGATGCATGGATCTGACAGAAATCTTCCTCAATGTGCCTTTATCTGCACGAACCCGTCTGTGCTCTGAATCAGCCACAAATCTCTTAATAGTGCGATGATCACGCTTAAGTTTTTGTGATATATCTAATGTTTTAATACCTCATCCAAGGCATTGAACTATTTCACTCTTTTCGGCAGCAGAGAGATCCTTTTTCTTCCCCATATTGCATGAAAATGGTGCTCTGCTTAATAATGTGGAACACCCTCCTTTAGTAGTTTTTCCTTAAATTGGGCTCACCTGGCAATCTAATTATCACAGGTGTCTGAGATTGTTTTCAGTGATTAAAAGAACCCTGAGACACAATGCCATCCATGAGTTAAACTGAAAAACAGAACATGTAATCTTTGTGACACTTAAATAGAATTTGCATAATAATTTGGAACAGGGTGTATAGAGGATCCCATGAAATCACAGGATCCACCATAGATAGAGCCAATTCCCATGCAGTCTGGTGATGGCTGCTTTGATTGACACTTCGACAGAGTAGCTCAATCCAGTGGCAAGAAATGTTAAGCGTAGGAAAAATAATAAGATATCTCTTGACAGTTTTTCCAGTGACATTTTAGTGAAATTCCAACACAGCCAATATGAGTATCTTAGAAGTATTCTATCTTTTTGCAGCGGGATGAGTGACAGTACCATTTAATCCTCTAAAGCAGCTGTAACGGATTGCCTGGCACCCCGACTGGGTGCCTCCGTTGACGGATGCTCTAGTGCTTCTCGAGGGCTCCAAGCACTCCACTAGATGCCATAACCACCGCAGACCCCACGAACTGCTGCAGCTTTGTTGTGGTCTCGCCGTCTTCCACCCACTCTGGACCCAAGACCTCTTTTAGTTCAGAGAGCAGGAACAGGAACAGCTCTTACAAGAGCTAGTGATTATACTCTGGGGAGTGTAGTGATTATAGCAATCCCCAGAGTGTAGGTACCGGTAGTTCTCCAATCCCCCAAACATGAGCCAAGACTTCATGAAGGGTAGAACGGTACAGGTTTGCTTATATACAATTCCACAGGCCAGAGGCACACCCCCCGATGGAACACAGGCACACAAAGGACACAAACCAATCAGAACAATACAACAATGTCCAACACTCCCACTTACAGCACACAATCCCTCCCCTCTGCCTGTGATACAATTAACAAAGACAATGGGCTAACTCAATTAACTCTAAACAGAAAAAAAAAACATAATTTTTTACAAACCCCACAAAGTACCCCAAAATACAGCATATCCCCTGAAAACATATCCAAAAATATCCAGATCGGTTCAGGGGTTCAGGAATTTCCTGGAAGTCTTATTTTTGCCCCACCGTGCACCGTGGTCCCATGCCCAAAACAGTTCCATACACTCGACGACAAAACACCGCTGGACAATTTAAGATGGCCGCAGCCACATGTTTGAATCTATTCCAGTTAAAAGTCCAAGGGGCAGAAACAGTACTTTTGAACATTGGTTATCACAGGGCCCATAGTCCCAGGGTAGGAGGCTGGCACACAGGCCCCTAAAAAAACCAGTGGTGAAGTGGATTTCGTCACAGCAGCATTTAAGGATTTGGAGTATTCCTTTAAGTTGTGATTCTCTTAAAGAAGCCAAAGAATATTAAAAAAAGTTTAGTAGTGTTTTAACCACTAGTTTAGTAGCTTTATACATTGTTAGCTATTGTTCTAAATATAATAAGATGCTCTAAACAATTGTTCAAAATCTAAACAAATAATATATGCCTGAAGAAATAGACCTAGTAAAAGTATATCTGTAATTCTTCATAGTCCCACACTATTGCAAAGAAAACTAAACCGTCCAAAAAAGGTCATAACTCATTGTTATGGAGCTCTGGCCTTTTTGTCTTATCTATTACATATTAAATTCCATGAAGGACTTAGAATGCGATAGGAAGCCATCGGCAGACTGCATACTGAAAGCTAGGATGGCAGAGGTGACATTGTTAGACTGTAGAAACAAATAAAAATGAATAAAGTTCTACTGACCAAGGGAGTTTTTTTAGCCTTTGATAAAGTGTTAGCAAGCATGAAACACATCAGACTGCCATTCCCTTTTCCGTGCTCCCTCTGATCCTCAGAGTTAACTATTAGAAGACATTTATAATTTTTCAAAAATTTGCGAGCTTTTGGCTTCACCTTGAGGTTAGACGGCTCATTTGATTAACGAGCTATTAGAATTATTGTATTAATACTATAATATACAGAAATTATTGCTGTATAAGACATTTTTGCAACATCTCTCCTTGATCACTTATGTTTTCTCCAATCACAGAAGGTAAAGGGGGGTTTAAGTGGCACTTTAAAAACTTTAAATAGGTACAATGTTTGTAGTCACTTTTTACAGTATGTAATTGGTGGCAAAGGAGAATGGTTTATTGGTGCAATTAGCTGTGGCCTAAACTGAGAAGATAAAGGATCTAAATATTGAGGATGTAAAGGATAATAAATGGGTCTCTCTCCAGAATCTCTGGATGAATTGTACATTTAATACATGTGTATTAAATTTGGCCTAACACTTTTCCCACATCTACTTGTCATATAATTTTTTTGCTGTATATGTAAAAAAAACTAGTATATGGTTTCTTGTGTTTTTTTTTTTTAAATAAAACCTAGTTTACCAATTTCATAGTATTCCTCAGTATATGGAACAGTGGCATTCTCAGCTCTTGTTATAAGGAATACCAGGGATAAAACACCCCTACCTAAATCACAGCACCTGGAGATTGATATTTACTATGATGTGCTCACACTCCATATATTAAGTATTAACTTTGTTATTAAAAAGAGATCACAGCCTTTTGTATTGTGTCTGTGATATGATTAAATCAGCATAATTATGTTAGCTTAAAAGGCTAAAGAGTAGAGCATTCTAGAGTAGTAATCCGGCAGCCAGTTTTGTACGGAATATGTACATTGCTGAAACTATGGTTAACTGAAGATTGGCTTTAGTAACTTCCTGGTTTAATGGGAGCTCACTGCAGAAGCTGCAAAGTAAAGAAACTTTATTGACTACTTAAAGCAGCACGGTCATGCAAACGTCCCTTCACGCTATTGTTTCCTCTTCTCTTCCCCTCTCAGAATCTGTTCTTAGTTTATTTTTTCTGATCTTGTTTTTTTAAAAACATAGGATATAGTAGGGACTACTTTGCCTTATGTATTTTTCCTACGCTTGACTTTCTTTGACCCAAGGAAGAGTTTGTCAGCTCCATTTCCTGTAGTCAAAGAAAAAAGGGGCTGACTTAGGTTCCTCCTTTGGTCCAAGAAAGTCAAGCGTAGGAAAAATACATAAGGTTTTAAAGAAAACTAGATCAGAAATAAAAAAAATAGAAAAACAGATTCTGACAAGAGGAAGAGAAGAGGAAAACAATTGGAGAAAGGTAAATTCGGAGTGACAGTGCCACTTTAATTAGTCCTTCATCTAAATACTATGAAGTCATGAGATGAACCTTGTATTTAACAGCATATACTCTGAGAAGTACCATTGTTGTTCCACTGAGTAAAGTAAGCACATTCTCTATGAATATAGAGTTATCAGCTGCAAGTTTTATTAACGTTTATGAAACCAAAAACCACTTTTTTTCTCGCCTTAAAAACATCTGCACATCTATCCGTAACGTTCTTTTAAAATGTATCAAAAGTATTTTTTAAAAGCACATCTTATACATCTCCCTAATGCATAGCAATAAAATAAATGCATGTATATAAAAATGTCAAGAATCCACAAAAATAATAATAATAATATCGCTTTCAAGTTTTTAATTATTATAGCTTTGAAATGTGTCATTTTATAGTAATGTATAAGACAATTTCACCCATTTGGGATGTATTTTGTTTTATTACTATTATTTTTTTCTGCTCTCTTTTCATCGCTGGATTTACTGGACGTTTTAAAATGTGATTTAGTTGCAACACAAATTGTCCATTAAGGCATTTTCTTGCTTTATCCCCATTTGTAAAATCAAAATTGTTGGACTGCCATTAGGCATTTCAGAGCTACGAGAGTTCTGTGGGAGTAATTGTGTCTTAATCCTGCTGCACAAGTGTCATTAGGGGATAAAAGGTTTGATTCAAACATCTGCTTAGTGCATCATTTACAGTGAATAACTGTTGATGAGCTTTTACTGAGCATTTACGTGGGAGCTGACCATGGTCCTTACAGTGATGTTGGTCTGGGGACTGATTTTGTTTTTCTGACAAAGGCCAAGGCATGTTAATATTTATTAAGGTTTAAAAGCACGCATTAGCCTTTCACATTTGTGTTAACAGCTACACTAACATATATGTGATATATATAGTATATTATTTTTCTATTGTTTCTTATAAGGCTTCCAGCCTCTACTATCGTAAATAAAATAATGCGTTTACTGACAACTAGAGATAGGTTCTAGGGAAATGCAATTTGTATAATATGAGGTTATACAAAAAGATAAGCCCTGCGCTCACTCCCATCACTACTGGGCCGGCAGCAATGACTACAGTACAATATATATATAGTAAAAACCAAAGAAAAGAAAAAGTTACCTGTGCTCTCTCCTTAATCCCTATGTATATTTAGACAAATGGAGGTCATTTAGTTGCTCCAATGGCCATTGGAGGGAATGCCCACCTGCCAACATCAAGGCAGACCCCCCCCTAAAGCGGGTCCTACACTGACCCTTCAGCCTGCTTCCTTGAGCTTCTGGCAAAGATATATAAAAAATACCCCTCTCTGTCTCATTAGAGATATCTTTATGGCCATTGGAACAACTAAATAACCTCCATTTGTCTAAATATACATAGGGATTAAGGAGAGAGCGCAGGTAACTTTTTCTTTTCTTTGGTTTTTATAATATGAGATTATGTTGCCTTTAGAACACTTCATTTCTTTCAAGACGTCAAGAGTACTTATACGACATCCAGTAAAGCATATAGAATGGTAGGGGTGTCATGAAACTTAATATCTTTGGCTGTAAGTGTCCAATAATTCTAACTTTATCCTAATTACTGCCTATGGCTGGAGGCTGTGAGGGATTCTTGTCATGTAAAGTAGTTAAATATAATGAAAAAAAAATATTATAGAATGCTATATAGTTATATATAACATACAGCGTATATATTTTTATAACATAACTTCACATAATGTTGTAGTATGGCATTTACGGTAGGTGAACATCATTACAAACAATAATAAAATTAAATTAAAACAAGTAAAATACATATTAACCCAAGGACTGGAGCATTTGTACAAGTTCAGATTAAAACAAAATGTAAACAAAACCTTGAATTTGCGCTATATATCTGTTTAACCGTAATTCACCTCACGCCCACACTTATTATATATAATTTTGTTCAGGAGAAACAGGGCTTTCATGTCACATGAAATATTTATATATTAAACATAATTTAATATGAATAATATATATATAAAAAAGTGAGAAATGTAGAATGTTTTTTGTTTTTTTTTAGTTTTGCACAGCATTTTAACTGTGATTGTCATTACACTGTTAGCTGTTACTGCAATAAAGTACACGTATTTGCATTCAGCAATGTCCAACGGGTGAAACAGTACTGGTTTACAGTACAGGTTTTATGGTGTTTTCGTAAAGTTACAGGGTAAAATATAGAACGTTACATTATTCAGTTTATATACGTTGAAATTTGTCAGACTCGTTATGTTGCGGTTGAGAATATATGGTAGCCGAGGAATGAAAAAAAAGTACCCCCATGATAGCATACCATTTGCAAAAGTAGACAACCAAAGGTACTATAAATGGGGGATGTCCAGTCTTTTTTTGCGTTCATATTTTTTTGTGTGTAAAAAAAAAATGCAAAAAACTAATCTGAACACTAATTTTGGCCAGTGTTTGGCTACCAAAAAAGACTGGACATACACCATTTGCAATACATTTGGTTGTCTACCTTTGCCATCATGGGAGTAATTCTCATTCCTGGGCTACCATATGGTCTCAAAGGCAACATAACCAATCTGGCAAATTTCAATGTGAAAAAATGGAAATGCAAGGCCCGTTGACTTTGTAACATTTTAAAACACCATATAACCTTTACATGGGGGATACTGTTATACTCAGGAGACTTTGTTGAACACAAATATTAGTGTTTCAAAACAGTAAAACCTATCACAACAATTATATCTTCAGTGAAAGTACTGTTTGTGTGTGAAAAATGCAAAAAAACAGCACTTTCATTCACAATATCATCATTGTGATATGTTTTACTGTTTTCAAGAATTCAGAACAAATAATAAATACAAAACTAATTTTTCTTCCATGCACAGGTCTGCTCTGTAGAGAGTTAACATCCTTAATGATCTTCCTTACTGTTTCCACTGTTGAATATAAAATCCCACATTTCTCAAGTTTTATAAAATAACCTTGTGTTTCTTGCACTGCTTTGTTGATATACAGCTCACTAGAGAGACGTGTCTGCATTATATATCCTTATATGTAGTTTGTGTCTCTTTCTGAAACCTTATACCAATTTGTAAGCATAATGTAACCATCCCAGTATCCCCTAACTGTATTGCTCACGGTGTTTTCTAAATTCTGGAAAGTAATTTGTCTACAATCATGATCAAAATTGCTCATTATAAACAATGCCCATAGGTGTTGCTAAAGAGGGCTTTGGGGACTGAAACCCCATGTGTGGGGGGTCTTTAGCCTGAAATAAATTACCTAAAACATAAAGAAAAATCACTAGTATGGTGCTCTGCAAGGCTACTTTGGAAGAGTACCCCCTAGATGACTACCAGGTGGGGTGCTGGGGAATATGCCTTTAATGAACATCATTACCACCATGCTGTGCATGAGTAGACAGTGTGGCTCATTACATATGTCCACCTCTCTTTTGGGGCAGGGATCATTGAGTTTTGCTTTGTGCTGAAGCTCCAGGTATTTCTTTAACCTAGCCACCCCCCTATAGGCTCCCACCAAGGCTGTATAAAGAGCCAAGCTTCTGTTACTTCTAGGTAGCAAATACACATTCTAGCTGACGACACAGAGTAGAGAAATCTGCAATTGTCTGCAATCATTCCCATAGCACTCATACTGAAATATCCTCTTGATGGAAACCAAGCTAGTGTGAATCATGATGTTCTCACTCAAAACACCACAGTTTGTCAAAAGTTCTCCAATTGTGATGTATTTTCTTGCACAATATTGTGTCTCCATAAAGGTAATGAATGATTAAATTGAAAAGAGCAGGATTCAGGAATAGAACCTTTGTGCATTCCACTTACTTATTTGGCATTTAAAACTGTCAGTCAGTAACAGCTCTTGGGTCTCTATCACATTATTCACTAAATAGTGATATGACAAGACATCAAAAAAATGACAAACAAGTAACAATGTTTAGACCTAAATTCTGTATTTTTATATCATTTCTCATCAATTCACTATAGTTCACTGTTTAGTGAAAATGTGGATTAATTTTTTTTTTTATAACCCCACTATAGATATCCGATGCTTAGAAGTGAATCACATCCATTGCACTAGTTCGTATTTGATTTATTTCGCTTCAAAAGGCACTCACTTAAAGATAATTTGACAAGAAATATATTTTACAAAACCATTTTGAATGCCACTGATAATGTTGTTGCTCGTCATTTTTTTTTTTTAATCCTTGCTACACATTAAAACATTTTTCCAGTGAAGACTTCAAGCCTACAGGTTAGTAATATCTCTTTTTAGAATTGTTTCCTTTTTAATAAGGTACCATCTGTGCTTTACACAAATCTATAGGCACAGTGCCAGAGAAGATGGAAATCTCTCAAGAATGGAGGTTTGGATAATTTTTGACTAAACTGTGTACGTACCAGTGGGTTTATACCACCTGGCTCTGAGGTCATATATCAACATTAAAGTGCTTGTAGCTGTTCCTTCTGTTATTGAAAAGACATTTTATACAATATAATATAGGGTTTACTCACTAAAAGCAAGCTGGGCATTTTTTTTCCAAATTAGTTATTGTTGACTATATTTTGCAATTAGGATTTCAGTTTACAAGAATGTAATGTTTAGTAAATCTAACTTGTTGGTAAGCCCTTAACCAAACATCAGAAAAACTCAGATACAATGTTGACATGTCCGACCGTGCTTTCAATGTAAATACTTAACATACTGGCACATTGAACAATCTGTAGCTACCTGATGCTTTATCAGGTATCGTTAACCTTTGTAGTCACCTAGACTGATATCTACGGTGTTAGCGTAATAACCGAATAACCACCAGGTTCGGCTCAGAGTAAACAGTTCAATAGTTTATCTTCAAAAGTTCAGAAAAAGGATTTTTTTTTTTAATTAAAGTAGAAAAGAAAGTACAGTTTGTACTCAGTTGATTATATTCCATAAAATGGCTGATAGTAGCAAAATGGCTGACAGCAAAGAAATAGGTTCCAAATGTAGGTTATCAATGGTCTCCGCTTTCTGCTTATTTGTGTTTAGGTATATACTCAATTACCTGTTGTTACCTGGCTTGTATGACGAATCCTGCCCTATGTTTGAGCTAAGGTTGGTTTGTATTTAGATTTTTCTGTTCGCTGACTTTATTTACCTTTGGCCTGTCTATCTTGCCATTAATGTTTCTATACCTATGATCTTGACTTTCATTTTATATTTGTTTCATGGTATCAGCGTTCACAGCACACACAGCAACTTAGGCTCAAATTCTTAATCTGTGGGTACATGTTTGGAGAGTGAAGATCTTGGTCTGAAATGTCAAGGTGACATTTCTTTACCCAGCCCTCAGCTTGGATAAATACAAGTAGGATGATATATGGAAAATGAAGAATGGAATCTGACATATGAAACATGAAATATGAACATATGAGATGAAATATGGCAAATCGTATCAGATTTGGCAATGCTGCCATTGGGATATAAGATTATATATTAGAAAATTGAATTTTGATTGGCATCTGGGATGTAAGGCTTATAAGATGAAATATATGAAATATAGAGTGAAATTTGGCAATTGGGATACATTATGGCATATGAAATGACATATGAAAAAAAACATACTTGTGAAAAGAGAATTTGAAATATAGAGAGAGTGTGAATAACAGACGTGTAAAGCAAAAAATAGCAAATAAAACTGGAGAGAATAAACGAGAAATAAAAATGGTTAAATAGACAACCAGAGGGTAAAGAAAGCATGAAAGAGAGCTGTATTAGCATTTGTTTGTAAATTGGTGCATGCACCTTACAGCAAAATGTTAAATATAGGCCACAATAATAAAAAAAAAAAACTGAATAAAAAGCATCAGGATTTTTTTTCCGGTGTTTTTTTTTGGGGGGGTGGGAGCTCGGGTTATTTTTTTTATTTTAGAAGTTCGCCAGAAATTATGGATTTTTATTTGGCCTTTTTGAGGGCTGAAAAACAAGAAGGTTTTAGAAAAAAAGAAGACATCTAATGGTAAGTATAATTTTTTTATTTTTTTTTACAGATATTTAGATTTATTACTTCCCCCTCACTATTTTTAGGGTGAGGGGGTAGGTAGTAATTTATTTAAAGGGTGGGTGACTGGGGGCCTTGGGACCCCTAGTCACATTGTGGGGGGTGGGGGGTTTTTACGTAGCCCCCACCCGTCGCCCATGGGTGTGGGCCAGGGGGAAACAATAGGTTCCCCCCAATTGTAATTTTGGGGTCCCACCCACCGCACATGGGTGGGGGCCGGGGAGACAATAGTATCATCCCCCGTATCATCTTAGGGCCCTCACCCACCGCTCACGGGGAAACAATAGGTTCCCCCCCTTGTAATTCTGGGCCCTCACCCGCAGCACATGGGTGGGGGCTGGAGGGGGAACAATAGGTCCCCCACCATTGTCGTTTAGGGACTATGTCCCCCCCCGCTAGTTAATAAATGGGTGGGGGGCTAGTTAATAGATGAGGGGGTTCACCACAGTGCTCACTGTTTAGTAGATATGCCCCGACTCGCGGCATAGAGTGAGGGAGGACATGTGGGGGGTTAGGAAGTGGTGGGGAGCACTCACTAACAGACACACACACACACACTCACTAACAGACACACACACACTCACTAACAGACACACACACTAACAGACACATACAGTCACACACACACTAACATGAACACACTCACTTTATTTTTTAATTTAACCCCCCCCCAGCCTCCTTACCTTTGGGAATGCTTGTTGGTGGGGGGGTTCTTCCTTTCCCTGGGGGTCCAGTGGCTGCTGGGCGGTCGGTCGGGCGGCGCTCGTGAGGGAGCACTTTCCTCTGAGCTCTCTGCTCAGCTCCCTCGTGCGCCGCCCGCAGAGTGATGCCGGCAGCCGGAATATGCCAGCTCCCTTGCCAGCACCGCCCGCCCGCCTGCCTGCCTGGACTGTTAGCCGCAAGGCTAACAAGGCATTTGCCCTGGGCATTTGGGGGCAGCTTTTTTGGCCGCCCCCTGGAAAATGCCGCCCAAGGCAAATGTCTTGTTTGCCTCTCGGCTAAAACGACCCTGGCGTGCATAATTCAGACTACATATTCCTCTATAATAACTGTTTTCACCAAGCTACTCTGATAAGGCGATTAACTTTAACAAAAAATAAAATGAAGCAGACACTCACGGGAGAATATACAAAGTTGTTATTCATTGTCTTCTTGCTTCTGTTAACAAATATATACCTCCTTTTCTTCCTTTCTGTAACGCTCACTCAATGCTTCAATAAAACAAAGATTGACAAAAAAATAAGAGAAGGATAAAAATATTTAAGGCACTCTAACAACTTAAATGAGATTAAATTGTTACAGTGCCTACAGTGTTCCTTTAATGATCACCATCAAGTTGAGATGGTTGTCATGAGAATTCATTGTTTTTTTCTGATATATCCTGCGGAAAGGCAGACTACGTGACTCCTTTAAAACTTGTCATTTCACGGAGGCCTATGGGTGGCTCCGTTGATAAATTCTCTGAGCACTGACCATGTTCAAAAAATGCAAAATCACATCTCCTCTCCTTTTACCCTATGAGCTACATTGAAGAGACTTTAGAATAATGGCCCAGGAGATACCTCTTACCAGCTATGTATGTAACAAGGGCTGGATTTGCACGACAGGTGCCTGTAAACACAGACTTCTAAGGCGCCTCCTGCACCCCCTTCCACAAAATAAATAAATGACATATAAAGTAAGTTTAATTAAATTATTAACTGAACATTGCAGGAACATTTCAGGTAAATTGTAATTATTATATTTGAATCTCTGATTATAGTGAGTGTATGTGGCTGCCTACACCCTGTTCCAAATTATTGTGCAAATTATATTTTTCTCATTTACCTAAATAATTGATGTAAATAATGGTCAGCATAATTCTCATGTTATCATCTATTAAGAGTACAATTCAAATTTTATTCAACAAACCTCCTAATGATAACAGTTTTTTTTAAACATAAAAAACTTACAATGCACTGTTCCAAATTATTACGCACAGTAAGTTTCTAAACACTTTATAGGTTGTAATGAACTGAAAACATTTTAACTTTTTTTTTTTTTAATTTGACAATTTTTATTTTATCAGTAAGCAACGTATTTAGGGTACAGACACATTTTAACTTTTTAAACATTTTAACAGGTCATGTTACATTTTAACATAGGACCCCTTATTTGATAGCAGCTTCACAAGTCTTGCATCCATTGAACTTGTGAGTTTTTGGACAGTTTCTGCTTGAATTTGTTTGCAAGATGTCAGAATAGTCTCCCAGAGCTGCTGTTTGGATGTAAACTGCCTCCCACCCTCATAGATCTTTTGCTTGATGATGTTTCAAAGGTTCTCAATAGGATTGAGGTCAGGGGAAGATGGAGGCCACACCATGACTTTCTCTCCTTTTATCCCCCTAGCAGCCATTGATGCAGAGGTATTCTTTGCAGCATGAGATGGTGCATTGTCATGCATGAAAATTATTTTATTGCGGAAAACATAGTTCTTCCTTCTGTACCAGGGAAGAAAGTAGTCAGTTAGAAACTCCACATACTTTGCAGAGGTCATCTTTACACCTTCGTGCACCCTAAAGGGGCCAACCAGCTCTCTTCCCATGATTCCAGCCCAAAACATGACTCCACCACCGCCTTGCTGATGTCACAGCCTTGTTGGAACAGGGTTCTGGACCATCCAGGGTTGCACAGCACTCATCAGTGAACAGTTCTGTTTGAAAATTAGTCTTCATGTATTTTTCTGCCCAATGCAGCCATTTCTGCTTGTGAGCATTGGTTAGGTTAGTGGTAGCTGAATAGAAGGTTTATGCACAGTTGCAAGACTCTGGAGGACTCTACACCTTGATGTCCGTGGGATGTAAACCTAGGATTAAGGTAAAGGGTATTTTTCATGTTTAGGCTTTGAGTCTAATTTGGGATTACATTAAGCGTTTGTTTAGTTTCTGAAAAGAGATTCAATTTACAGTTAGGGAATATGGCTGTTTAGTGCAATTTGAGTCTGAAGAGTTATTTGCAAAGTATTCACCCTCCAATGCCGTTTGTAGTCCAGGCAGCCTCCTATGATTGAATGTTGAGCTGTAGTAGCTTGTATACAGTGTGTATTAATCTTTGCTGTCCTATGATATACAGAAATATTTTTGTGTTAAGTGCGTGCCCTTTTTTTTCGTTTTACAAAAAGTGCATTTTAATAGAAATTGGCATTTTTATAAATGAAAACAAACAAGAAATATTCCCCCAAAAGGAAATAAATATAGGTGGATTGGCGCTGTACACAGAATAGCAACTACCCCCAGTGTCTCAAAATCACTCAAAGACACTCCCAAATCGTGATAAAACAGAATAACAAAGTGGGGGGTGCAATAAATAGAATGAATAGTACAAAATATAAATACTTTTCCGTAGTAGTAGTAGGAACTTAATCTGTAAAACACAAAAGTCCATACATAGTGTAAAACTGTAAATAGTAGAAGTAATAGGAGCAAAGGTATTGGGTCACTCACAATAAATAGAGCCTAAAATAGCAGGCTCTAGCTTGATTGCATGTGGAAAATCAGCTTTTCCAGGCTATTCAAGATGTCCCCACAGTCTTCCTATAGACACTGGTGCTGGATTCCAGATGTAGGAAAGATGGACCAAAAGAATTCTTCAGCTTTAAAAAGTATTTACTTCAATAAAATAACAAGATAAATAAAAATGTAAAAATATATAACATTTAAAACACAACGCGTTTCGACAATAAGTCTTTCTCAAGTGTACAGTTGTGTTTTAAATGTTATATATTTTTACATTTTTATTTATCTTGTTATTTTATTGAAGTAAATACTTTTTAAAGCTGAAGAATTCTTTTGGTCCATCTTTCCTACATCTGGAATCCAGCACCAGTGTCTATAGGAAGACTGTGGGGACATCTTGAATAGCCTGGAAAAGCTGATTTTCCACATGCAATCAAGCTAGAGCCTGCTATTTTAGGCTCTATTTATTGTGAGTGACCCAATACCTTTGCTTCTATTACTTCTACTATTTACAGTTTTACACTATGTATGGACTTTTGTGTTTTACAGATTAAGTTCCTACTACTACTACGGAAAAGTATTTATATTTTGTACTATTCATTCTATTTATTGCACCCCCCACTTTGTTATTCCATTTTTATAAATGAACCATATCACACCCTCACTGGCTGTCAATCAGACAACAGGCCCTGTTACTTCCTGGCTGTTTAGCTTAGTGGAGCTAAACTCGAGAGGCAGCAATTTCTCATTTCACCTGCCTTGTTAAGACGTCTCATTGAGCTGCATTAGGAAGTCTGTGATTGGACAGCCACAGAGAGTCTGAGCTGGGGAAGAAGAGGAGGGCTATTTGCAGCATGTGCAAGCTGTTTTTACGCTTACCCTAATGGAAAAACACAATGAAATGCTTGAATGCAAGGAGATATATCTTTATATATATCTTTTATTATTATCTTTTTTATTTGGGCAGTAGCGTGTTCAGGTATATTCAGGTATATATAATAAACTACAATACAGGTATAGCAACTAATAACAAGGGTTGTAATTAGCACAAGGACTATGTTATAACATAATATCTTTATTTATGCATACATAATGTGTGCAATATGTCCATTACTATCACACTGGAATGCTTAATTTTTTTTGTTCATATAAAACCCTGTTATGAAGAACCTCTCCTGTAGAAAATGTTACCATATGAACCAATGCCACATTCCAATGGAATTATGATTACCTTTAAACCAACCCAGCCAATGATGCTAAGCAGGGAAAGGGCAAAGATTAATAGTTTGTTGATGGTTCCTATTGAAGGGCATTTTCTAACTGTCCCCAGTCAGCATAGCTCAAGCATATTATTATGCATGCTTGCGCAGCCCAGCCAACACTAGGACCATGCAGAGAATGCTTCAACAGCACTGTCTGCATGGCCTTCTATATTGGGGCCAGCCAGGGAGGCTGTCAGTCATTCTGGGACACGACCCTAGGCTGACATACCCCTTCTAACTCACTGTTGACACCCCCAATGGCCTGTCCACCCATCCCAATCTCTCACCTCACTATGTCTCACCTAACAGAGTTATTTATATTAGTGAGATTAGTTGGAAATTCAAAGTGAGTTCAGAGGAAAATTCTAATTTAAAGGTCAAATAAGTCAATCTGGAAGCATAACTGATTGTGAGAATGTTTCCAATTTGGCAATTTTGACCTAATAGTAAAAATTTACTCTGAACCCTTAAGAAATTTCACTTTAGTAAATAACCTAGATCTAAAATAGAAAAAAACAAATGTCATTCTGCAACAGAGAATCAGGATTTCAGATGTGCCCATTACTTATATCTTACACATTGTGTCTGTAATCAAAGTGAGCAAGGGGTCCACATCTAGATTACACTTTAATTATTGTTAAGAACGTCGTAAATGAACAAAACAAAATAGATGCTCACAAGAGCACAGCTATAATAAATAGGAGATAATTTTTACTCTGGAGTGAGTGCAATCCTTTTAACAAGCTTTCAAGCTTTGTCTTTTCTCAGTCTATAAAATCAATGCATCGCTGCTCTTATTTTAAATGTCGTGGACTACAAATCTATCATGCTCAAGCATTCCTTATACTGAATGGCTAGGCATTATTAGATTTGTGGTTAGCTGCAGCAGGAATACCAAATATTACCTGTCTCTACAGAAAAAAGAAATAAGGCACACAACATTCACTGAAAGAAGTTACATTTGAGAAACCCTTGATTGCTAACGTAGATGACTAAAGAATAAAAATAACTCCCCACAGTTATTAGTCATCAAAAAAATTCCCTAAATTAGTTCCCCCTCATGTACCTCTCAACAGTATTTCAGCGGTGATGGAGCATAATTTCATAGGGACACTGAGGAGGTGTTGTTCTGTACAAAAACAGGCAGCTGGAACCAGTCCAGAGTTTCGAAAAAACATGCAGAGTAGCTAGTTCGGAGCCTTGTAACAATACTACCGGGATTAGCAGAACATCAGAAGATCTCACACTCTCCGCGTACCTTCCCTGGAACAGGTTACGACTATGGCTGCATATTATAGTTTTGTGTAGAATACAATACTAATTGTAATTTTCCCCCCTGCATTAACATTATTCACTTTGTACAGTCTCAGCAAGCTGCCGCTGACAAGATTCAACATAGCAGCACGTAAAAACAAACAAGCTACATTTGCTATTTGATTAATCTCTCTGGGTTCCTCCACATCTATTGATTAGTGCTCAGATTAAGGCCAGTGGGCAGATGGTACCCTTTTTGGGAATGTGATCTCACACTGGTATTTGGCAAATAGGCATGAAAATAAATGTGCATACAAGCAATGAACAACAACTGCTAACATGAGAGATGGTACTGGGGTAACTGATATAACTCATGTGAGATCTGCGTATAAATTTAAAGAAACCTAGTTATTATTATTCTATATTAATTTTTTTGGGAAAAATTGTTAGATGTTCGTTGGTTGAACGAACTTGAATATATGTAATTTATTAAATAGAATATATTCCCAAACAGGGTGTGCAAAAAAAAATAGATTAGAGATTTTATGTGCTCTTGCATCACTTAAAGGACCAGTATAGTGCCAGGAAAACAAACTCGTTTTCCTGGCACTATAGGGTCATTAGGTCCCCCCACCCTTAGGGCCCCCTTTCCGCTGGGGTGAAGGGGTTAAAACCTTTCTCCAGTGCAGGGCTCCCTCGGCGCTGGGGAACTCGGCTCCCTCGGTGCTGTGGAACTCTCCTCCCTCTGCTGACATCAGCTCCGAATGCGCATTCGCGGCAAGAGCCACGTGCACATTCAAACCGCCCATAGGAAAGCATTACTCAATGCTTTCCTATGGACGTCCAGCATCTTCTCACTGTGATTTTCACAGTGAGGATCGTGGAAGCACCTCTAGCGGCTGTCAGTGAGACAACCACTAGAGGCTGGATTAACCCTCAGTGAAACATAGCTGTTTCTCTGAAACGGCTATGTTTTTAGCTGCAGGGTTAAAACTAAAATTATATTGTGGTTGTTTGAAGGGTAATCTCCCCCCTTACTGTTCTTCTCTTTATGTTAGATATGCCT